TTCTAGGTCTGCTGGGTGAAGCTTCTCGCACCACTGCGGAAGGTGCTGCGCGCAACAATCGAGGATGTTGTCAATCCCGTTGTCGCAGTGGTGCGGGCACTGAAGAAGGCGGAGGGAAGCTTCTGTTTCGGCGAGGCCTGGTGGAAAGCCCGGGAGGCGGTCGTCCGGAAGGCAGCGGATTTTGACAATTCGGGGAGACGCTGCACCAGGCGCGCAGGCCCTTGGCGCAATGTGATATTGAAGGACATCATGAGAGGCCCTTCTGTATGTTAAATAATCGATCGGTGGAGTTCAGATGTCGAGGACCAAAGAAATCTGTTCGATGGAGGGGAAGGTCGATGACTTGCTCAAGTACCTCAGGCACGGGCGGGAAGAGGAGAAGAGGTGCGCGTGGAGGCAAGGATTTGATGACGTTCCCGGGTGAAGCTTGGGCCAGATTTGCTGACCTAACAAGACTTTTCTGGTCAGCAGCACAAGCCCAGAATTCAGTGGAAGCTTCCGGGGCACACTGAGGGCGGACGAACCGGACTTTTGCCGTAAGTCCGCTGCAGTATCACCAGCCAGCTCGGCTGTGCTTGATGAAGGAGGGAATGGCAAAGTAGCAACCTGATGTTGTCAAAGATTCCGCAGTGGATGTGCCCAAACAATTTGATAGATGTTCGAGAGTTTCCCAATTGGCAAGCAAATTTTAATGACATTTCTGGACTTTTCATCCCAGTATCCAATTGTTTTCAAAACCTGCCTCCTCTGCCGGGCAGTCATCGTCTGGCACCATCAATGTTAGAGTGCATCCAATCGATGTACCGGCGTCGAATCAGGCTCTTGGCTTGGACAGCAACATGCAACATCCCATGGTACTCACGCACGGATGTGCAATTGGGCTGAATACTGGAAGATTACGACGGCAAGACCACTCCTCGTAGGCCGCATGACATGGCAATCTGCCAGCTGGAGACCAGTCCAGCATCAAATGAACCTTTTCATGCAAGTATTTGCGCTTGCGAGTCCACGGATGAGGATGTAGCGAAACGCTGCGTACATTGATACTTTGCGGAAAGGTTATACTTGGCCACCATGTGTCCTGGAGTCACTTCAATGTCCATTACGTCCGATTTTGGTCAATTGATTGGCCACACAATAACCATACGCGTGCCGGTTGCGGCTGTTGAGCCTGTAATCTGTCTCAGTAGCATGATGGGTGGGCAATCGAGGCGCCTATCAAGGCATGGATGATCTCTATTATCACTTACAGGTGCAGTAAGTTGGTGTAGTGTCACTGAACGTACAAAGGAAACAGAAACTGCCCTCCTCGCTGTGGCCTCATTCCTTGTGCTGGCCAGTGAATCTCTCCTTGGACTTCCCCCTTTTCGCCTCTGTTATCGTGACATCCAGTCTCTTCTTTTTCTCAACGTCTGCATCGCTGTGACAGCCTTGGGACGATTTCCTTCTTGCACCACACAAGAGTCGGTAAACATGCGATTATCGCCATCTCTCATGGCACTCGCCTACCAGGTGGCCGCTGTTGCTTCCGTACCGCTACATCAAGTTCAAGCGCCTCTCGTTTCACCAGCAGAACCTCAGACTGGGACTGTACTATCACAGGACATGAAAAAAGCAATTGCCAGGCCGACAAGCACTGGCGAGGGATGGTACATAAATACTGATCGCTGGCTGGCCAAGACCGACGGCGAGAATCCGACGAACAAAGCAACGACTTCGGTAGCCTACTGCTTCTGCTCAGAAGGCAACGTATGCTGCAACTCGCCCCATGGCGTGCAATGCGATTACGGCATCTGCGGCATCTAGACGGTTACGTCGCCAAGCCGCAAAGAGATCTCTTGGCCGGGTCTCCCGCTTCACGGCACCTCGATCTCGGCCGGCAATCGTTATCGCTATCGATGAAGCGAACCACGAGGTGACATTGGATCGCGCCAGTGGATGCGTCTTGACACTTGACAGTCGAACTCGCCATACCCAAACAAGTATTGCTGGCGCCTCGCCTGCTCACATTGCCGAGTCTCCGCTGTACTAGGTCGTGCGCAGGCCCCAGCCGCTCTTCGGCGAGCGACTTCTAATCTAAGATGATTTGTGAAGGTTTTCGGCCAGGGGCATCAAGGGTGGCGCCGGCGTCTCGGACGCACAAGGACTTCCCTGGAGACGGGAAATGCAGATTCAACCAGCACCTTGTGCAGCGACGTACGAAGGCAGAGATAGGGGGGCTGAAGTGAAAAAAGAACCCACTTTGCCACCAGTTTCATACGTTGCAAGCTGACAGAAGGATCGTGGTGAGCAGTCGGTCTGCGCCGCAGGTGTGCGCCGCCTGTCAAATTAGGCTTGAAGTGTAATGAGACTCGAAATCCCCACAGTCCGTTCATCTCATGTTGCTCGCTTGGTAGTCTGCGAAACCACGATGCATCTCGATTCAATACTACCTCATGACAGAGTTCTTGTCACTTTCAATCTTGCAATATTTGGTGCTTGATGCTCTTGCGCGACAGATGGTCTTCCAGTGCTGTCGGCCCCTGGTCCCATTCTGACCTGACTATCCCTGGCAGCACCAGCTGGCTAAGCCGTAAATCGTCTCAAACTCCCGCAACAATCTCCCAACTGCGCCTATTTTCAACTCCTCCCAAGGTCCAGCCAGTCGTGGATTGCGGGGGTCCAACGGCTATCCGTCGCCGGGCTCGTGCCTGTGTCACTCCACACGCTCTTTGACATGGTGCGCGTGGACTGAAGCCATGTCCCACCCGTCAGGTCCCTGGCTGCAGTGAGCCCAGAATGTCCATCGGCCAAATGAAAACTACCAGGGGTTGAACCAGCGCAGCCCGGCTCATTCGAGAACCCGACTCATCCGCGATAGGTATAAGGTAAGGCTGGCTGGCTGTTGCTGTCCCTGAATTTTGGGACTGGACTTCATCCTTTTTTGCCTCCTGTTCATATCGGGCCTTTCTACCCTTCAGTCACTCTTTTTTTTGTGTTCGAGCCTTGGTGCTTTGATTCGCCTATACACTCATTTCATCTGACATTCTTTTCGAACGCGCAACGATGCACACCCAGTCATACCTGAGCCTTGCCCTGGCCCTTGCGGCCCCAGCCGTCGTCAACGCCGTCTCTGGTAGCGGCCACTCGACGAGGTACTGGGACTGCTGCAAGCCCTCCTGCGCTTGGGGTGGCAAGGTGAGAAGCCCGGCATGGCTCGAGCGATCATTGACTCACTTTGTTTTCCTCTAGGCCTCCGTCTCGGCCCCTGTCCTGACCTGCGACAAGAATGACAACCCGCTGACCGACCCCAACGCTAAGAGTGGTTGCGACGGTGGTGGTGCCTTCTCTTGCACGAATAACTCGCCCTTTGCCATCAACGACGATGTCGCCTTCGGTTTCGCCGCCACGGCCATCTACGGTGGTTCCGAGGCCAGCTGGGGCTGTGCCTGCTACGCGGGGTTCCCCTTTTTTGGCATGGAGTGAGCGCGAGCCGTGCTAACCGATCGATGATAGCCTCACGTTCACGACCGGGCCCGTCGCCGGTAAGAAGATGGTCGTCCAGTCTACGACGCTGGAGGCGACCTGGAGAACAACCACTTCGATATCATGATGCCCGGCGGTGGTACGTTACAGCTCAAACCTGTCGGTTAGGAACCGACATACTAACGTGAAATTGAAGGTCTCCGGTATTTTTGACGGCTGCTCCCACAGTTTGGCGGTATCCCTGGCGCGCGCTACGGCGGCGTCGGCTCGCGTTCCGAGTGCGATGGTATGCCGGGCCTCCTCAAGGACGGCTGCCAGTGGCGCTTCGACTGGTTCAAGAACGCCGACAACCCCGACTTCACATTCGAGCAGGTGCAGTGCCCGAGTGAGCTAGTCGCCATCTCGGGATGCCGCCGTGCCGATGACAAGAACTTCCCCGCGTTCAACATGATCGGAAACTCGGCGCCCAAGCCCGCGACGACCAGCAAGGCCGTGACGACTAGTAAGCCTGCCACTACTAGCAAGCCTGCCACTACTAGCAAGCCTGCCACTACTAGCAAGCCTGCCACTACTAGCAAGCCTGTCACGACCAGCAAGGCCGTGACGACCAGCAAGGCCGTGACGACCAGCAAGGCCGCGACGACCAGCAAGGCCGTGACGACAAGCAAGGCCGCGACGACCAGCAAGGCCGCGACGACCAGCAAGCCCGCAGGCGGCTCTCCATCTGAGCCCCTTGTGGCTGCTTACGGCCAGTGCAACTCGGAGAAGAGCTGGGCCGCGGCCAAGCCGTGCGCAAAGGGACTCCGTTGCGTCAAGCAGAACGACTGGTACTCTCAGTGCCTGCCTTAGACCGACGAGGGATAGCTGTGGCAGCGAGTGGGGGTTGAATGGGCTTCAGTCTTCCTTGAGCCACCTCGACAACGACCCTGGATATCTGACCATCGGTATCTGGGGAGCATGGCTCCTATACTCAGGGCTACTTGACGCCCTTCTCTTGTTTTGTTCTTCTTCTCTTCTCTTGACGTTTTTTGAGCTATTATCTGTTAGTTGTTAGCTAGACATGCGTAGGAACAGAAATGATATTAGTGTACTCATTATAACATGATCGCTCGATCCGAAGCAAATGAGACAACAGAACTCTGCTGCTCCCACGGAATCGCACGAGTTCATTTTCTTGCAACAGTCTGATCGACTTCACTGGAAGAGACGGAGGCGGCACGTTGAGTTGTAGGTGACCTTACTCAGGTTGGCAGGTGACAGTCCAAAGTGAAATGCAAGGGAAAGGAGTTCGAGACCGCAAGATTGGTGCCCCGCTTTCCAAATGCACCAGCAACAAGGCACGCGCCACTCATCAGTGTCAGCGTGACGAGCGGGAGATGTGATGCCAGGAAGGGAGCTCGGGCCAGCGCTAGAAGTGGTCTCAGGGCTTCTCGAAGAGTACCTGTGAGACGTTAAAGAACCTAAAGGAGGTGGTCAAGGCGCATGACCAGTGTATGGTTACCTCCTTTGGCGACAGTGGGGGGTTTAGATGCTGTGACAAGGAACTGTACGGAGAGAGAGGGGCAAGCATGATTAGCGGCATCCAGCGCAGCCCTGAACGGAGGTACGTTTCAAGTGTCTGCCAATTTCCACATGCACCGAGCACACCAACTCGTAGTTTGTGTCTTATTTCTTCATCTCGAAGACCCAAGAACGGAAGGCGATGACGGTGATGATGTAGAAAGAGGCAGATGGCCGACACGTGGCGCAGCGCCATGACGATGGGTTGGACTTACGGCATGCGACAAGAGATGCATAGGCAAACGGTCTGCCCGAAAGAAGCAATTCCAATCCGTCGCTGCGGAAATTCTTGTAGCGCGCCGCAGGCACTGGCACCCCATTCACAGCAGGTGCCAGCAGGATGGATGAAGGTGAAAGCGAGTGACCAGCGCCCTGCGGCTGGCCTGGGATGCTCGAGCACGGTTCCGTCACACCAAAACCTTGCGATCCGCCTTCCTGCATCCCCGGCGAATGAGAGGCCGGCACGCTCGCCTCTTCGCACGTTATCTCTGGCTGCAGCGAGCCGGCGCCCACGGAAGGCAAGCTAGTAAAGAAAGCGTCCCTCTAAGCAGAACGCAGCAACAGCAGGAGGGTGGGCATTGCATTTTTGCCAGCCTGGCTTGCAGGGTAGGATAGCGCGGGACATGGTGTAGGGAAGAGGGCGCTTCGGAAGAGCTAGGACCAGGCGGGAAAGCGGGAGGGGTCGAGGTGTGGACAAAGTCTCTCTTCCAGCAGCAGCCCCAGGTCTTGTGGTCGCCATCGCCAAGCCTGCCATTGGGTGACCAAGTATTTCCGCTGGCTGGATGAAGAAGCGGTGACAAGCTGGCGACTGAGGAAGGACTCGCAGTTGGAGGCTCTTGGCAGCGTTGATCTCTTGAAGAATCACGAGCCGTAGACCCCAAGGGAGATGAGGGAAAAGGAACACAGGGGACCGTAGCTCGGGGCAGGGTAATTGTGTGGGCGTTCGGGTGTTTCTTTGGGTGGGCTTCTCCCGGGCTTCCAATGGCCTTCCATCTGCTTTCCACCCGGTTTCCATGCGTTCATCCATGCAATGCAGCTTGCAGTCAGGGCAGAAGGAAGATACTGTCGTGCTACCCACCAGCCGGCATGTGAAGGGTGGCACAACCGTTCTGACTGACGCCGCTTCGGTCCCGTTGTTTTCTCCATCGTTCTCCATCGCCAGAAGGACAGAAATGTCGAGATGGGGGCCTCCCTCATCAACAGGGCACGTTCGCCATGCCATGTGAGACGTTCGGTCGTGAGCGGAGGGGGATCGGTATGGATGGTGCCGAGGCCAGAGTCCGAGCCAAGCGAGCGGAAACGGACGGACGTTGTTTCGACCGTGATGCTGCCATAACCGAACCCCTGTGATCGGGAACGTCTTGCCTTTTCCGCTGTCTGCCACCTGCACGGCGTCAGACCAGGTATCCTAGCCTCGGGTCTTCATTTACTATGCTTTCGCCAATGGCCATCACGAGTCGTGAGATGCGTCAGAGAGCAAGAAAGGAGAGTAATGTAACGCCTCGGTCCTGTTAACAGGCGCAAAAAGTCACCACCCTCTTCGATACAGATCTTGGCGATAGGCGATAAACAGAGCCTACCATCTGCCAGGTATCTGCCTAGAAAACCTCAGGTACCTAAGGTACCTACGGTGCCTCGGTGAGGGAGGTGGTAGGGACTTGGTCCTTGGGGCAGCTTCAAGCTACAACAGGAGCAGTGCCACCCCCTGGCAGGAAGCAGCACCCAAGCACATGATTCACAGCCAGAGCTCGATGACAGGGCAGGCAGGAAGAAGTCCCGGCGCAGAGAGCAGCAGAGGCAGGTGCCGCGTGCCCCACCTG